TTCAGAACAAGATTCCTGCATGAGACCTCACAGAGACATAATACTAAGCTTGCCAGCCTCAGAAAGAAAAAAAATTGTGTCCTGTGAAGCCTGAAAGATTATAATGAGGGTTAGGCTTTCTGATATACATGAGGCAGGAAAAAAAAATTTAAATGTTGTAAACTCCATTATTTAATCAACTAGAATTTATTAAGTACCAACAGTGTGCCAGGATATAGGCCGTGGGAATACAATGTCAGAAATGATATAGACCATGCCCTCATGGGGCTCACATTCTATCAAGGTAAACAACATGTAGATATAAAAGCACGTACAAAATAATTACCCATTTGGTTGGGGGGGTGCCCTTTGGGTTTTGTTGTTGTTGTTGGGGTTTTTTGTTTTTGTTTTTTTCGTGGAGAGGTACCAGCAGCTAACTGGAATCAGGAAAGGTTTCAGGTAGATAGTAGAGAATGAACTGAGCCTTGAGGGAAACTGGGGATTGTAAGAGCAAAGGTGAAGTGAGTAAAGTTGAGTGCAATTCAGACATGGGAGACAGCCTGTTTACAAAGCCATAGAGGAGAGATGGAGAGTCCTATATGAAGAACAATAAGAAGGGGAATTTGGCTGCACCGTAGAGTGTGTGAAGGGGAGTAAAGTATAAAAAATCTGGAATGGCAGTCTGAAGCTAGGTTGTGAGGATTTAATTCCAAATAGATGAGTTTATATTTGATCCTGGAAGTACCAGAAGCCACTGAAGTTTACTAAGCAGGGGAGTGGTATGGTCAGACCTTCGGAATATCACTTTGGCAGTTGTGTGGAGGATGACTGGAGAAGGGAGAGACCCAAGTTACATTTAGAGAACGGGATGCTCTAAATATCAAAAAATCACCTTATCACAGCATATCAATGTCAGAAAGGACCCTAGGAGCCACAGACCTGAACAAGAAGCCTCTCTATAACTTACCAATGAGTGGCCACCTAGCCCATGCCTAAAAAGCTTTAGTGAAGGGGAATCCACTATTGCCCAGAGAAGCTCACTGCACTTCTGGAGAGCTCTGATTGTTTTCTTCCCATTTTCCTCTTTACAACAGCTCTCCACTGACTGCTCTCTGTCATCCTGCACCAGGCACAACAAATCTGAAGTCTCTTGCATGTGACAGTTCTTCAAATACTTACAGGGAGCTATCAGAGCACCACTTCATCCTCAGAGGTTCATTATCTGCAGTTCCTTTAAGCAATCTATCCTTATATGATCAAGGCCCTTCCCCAGCCTGGATGCCCTCCTCTGGATGCTCTCCAGCTTATCAATACCCTTGTTACAATGTGGTGCCCTCAGGGCTCCTTCTCCCAAAGTTCTGCACGTGACCACACTCTTGACTCGTCTTGAGCTTTCAGTACACTAAAAAACCCCCAGAACTTTTTCAGATGAACTGCTAACCATGGTTCCCCAAATGTGTACTTAAAGGTACTTTGTACAAATTTGTGCTTAAAAAAATTCACTTCCTAAGTATAATATTTTGTGTTTACATTACTATGTAAAGGACCTATGATTTAATTAGTGTGGGACCTTCCTCCACTGGCAATGATTGTCACTTGCCTATGACTTAGAGTCTCTGAGCCTCAGAGAGGTGACTAGCCACTGGTCACATTGCTTTTAAGGGTCAGAAGCAGGATCTGAACCCAGGTCTTCCTGACTCCAAGTCCAGCATGGTAGCCCCTTTACCATGCTGCTTCCAAAATACTTTACACTCATCCATATTAAATTTCACCTGATTGAATTTGGTTCAATGCTCTGACCCCTGAAGATCTTTTTTGGATACTAATTCTGTCGCTCAACAACCTAGCTATCCTTCCCAACTATACATCTTATGACAATCTGACAAGCAATCCATTTATTCAAGTCACTGACAAAAATGTTCAACAGCAAAGAACCCAGAACAGATCCATGAGGTACATAACTAGAGCCCTTCTTCCAAATTAACATCAAATCATTAATTCTACTCTTCAAAGCTAGCCATTTAACTACCTCTGAAACTTATTATTATCTAATTATAATGAATTATTATCTAATTCATCTATTAACAAGCATTTCTTAAGCATGTATTACATGACAGGCACTGCACTAAGCATTAGGGATATAAAGACAAAGCAAAAGCAGTCCCTGCTCAAAAGGAATTTATATTTTAATGGGGAGACATTGTGTATATAAATAGGTACAGACAAGCTACATACAGAGTAAATGGATGGTAACTTCAGTGGGGAAGGCACTAGAAGATGGGGAAACTAGAAAAGAACTTCTCTGCAGAAGGCAGGATTTGAGCTGTCTTGAAGAAATTCTGCAATTTTAAGAAGCAAAGGTGAGGAAGGAGAGTATTGGGACATGGGAGAGAGACAAAACAAAGGCCCAGAGACAGGAGATGCATCATCATGTGTGAGAAACAGTAAGTAGGTCAGTATGACCCGAAGTGCAAATAGGGTAGGGATATACAAGAAGACCAGAAAGAAAGGAAGGGTCTAGGTGGTGAAAAGCTTTAAATGCCAAACACAGGAGTTCATGTTTGATCCTACAGGTAACAGGGAGCCACTGGGATCTATTAAGGAGGGGGTGTGTGGCATGATCATACTTGTATTTTAGGAAAATCACCTATGCAAGCTACATGGAGGATGAATTAGAGTGGACAGAGACTTGAGGCAGTGAGATCAATTAGAAGACTACTATAATAGTCCAGATGAGGGGTGATGAGGGCTTGAACTGGCTATTTGAGTGGAAAAAAGTGAACACATGTGAAAAATACTGTGGAGGTAGAAATGACTCAATTTGGCAAGTGACTGGATATTTGTGGAGGGTAAGAGTGAGGAGTCAAGGATGACAGTGAGACTAGGAATATGGATGACTGGGAGAACAGTGGTACCCTAAATAGTAAGGGAATAGTAAGGGAAGTTCAGAAGGGGGTAAGTTTGGGGGAAAGATAATGAGTACTGCTGTGGACATGTTAAATTTGAGATGCTTTCTGTTTAAAACATCCAATAGTTAGGCAGCGGGACTGAAGATACAGGACTGAAGAGAGACTGGGTTGATATAAAGACTCTGGACTTCTCATAACTACTTATGGTAGATTAATAAGATCACATATGGGAAAATGTAGAAAAAAAGAGAACAGGGTCCAGGACAGAACTTTGGGAAACACCCACAGTTAGTAGGGTGACATGAATGAAAAGCCAGCAAAAGATACTGGGAAGGAGAGATCAGACACACAGAAGAACCGAGAGAGCAGTGTCATGAAAATCCAAGAAGAGGAAATGATCAACACTATCGAATGATGTAGAGAGTCCAAGAAATGCAAGGACTGAGAAAAGGCCACCTGATTTAGCAATAAGCCATCAGTGGCATTTTTGGAGGGAGCAGCTTCAGCTAAAAGAAGAGGTCAGAAGTCAGACTGAAGAGAGTTTAGAGAAGAAATTAAGTAGAGACATTGAGTAAAGATAGTCTTCTCAAGGAACTTATTTAAGAAAAGAGGAAAGATATAGGATAACTATTGAGAATGGTAGGATCTAGTACTAAAATCCTCTTGAATAAAAAGTTCTTGGATGATTCAGAGTATACTTCAGGACCTTTCTAGTATCTCAGAATCATCATCATAAATAATATTTATCACTATATTAGACAACCACTTACTTAAAAGATACTTTTAGTTGGAGAAGACAGGATTGACTATAGTACTCTAAATGTAGGAAAGCAAGTTTCTTCCTAAGCATTCAAATAATTTAGGTGAAATAAAGGTACAGTAGTTCTATCCTAGAGATTGCTGATATACAAATAAGGCTAATTTTCAAGGTACAAGAAGCCATGTTATAAGATACTACTTCACTAACAAATGTAAAAATAACATAGAAGGCTTAGGAATGCCTAGTAGGATGGGAATTTCATTCCTACTGCATCTTAATGTGACACTGTTTCCCTCCAGGTAATGTGAGCTGAGACTTCCTAGATACCTAGGCTTATTAATATTTCTACATCTCTTCTCAAATTTGAATATAAAGTAGAAAAATATTCCTATCTTTTAAAAAAGGTTAATATCTAATTGAACCATAGATGATCTATAGCTGAGGCTCCCACTATTTGCTATCTGGAGACCATTTGGAAAGAGGAAAAGGGAGGGCTGGCCCTGTACAATGATGGTGTAGGTAGTTCATTTTGTGGTAAGAGCTGATATGTCAGTCAGTCACCTAGCATTTCTGAAGCACCTATTATGTGCCATTCAATTCACTAATTAAGGACTGGGCATACAAAGAAAGGCAAAAAACAGTTCTTGCATTCAGAGTTCCCCATATAATGTGTCAGAAACCCCCCTTGCTCCAAGTGATATTATACTGTATATAGTAATATTATGCTGTAAGCTCCAAAAACATGTCTGATTTAAACTTGTTAATTTAAATTTTAATTTCTCCAACACCTACAATAATGTTCTATGAGTGGTAGGCTCTTAATAAACATTCAATAAATTAATAACTAGAGGCTAAATGTAGTTGACAGCTTCAGATCCATCAGCCAAATTACAAATTAGCACCCATTACAACAGGTCCATTGTTCTTTTGAAACTTAGTTCAACAAGGAAACAAAAACTCTTCTAGAACTTCTGAGAAGCCTCCACATTAGAAAAATTCACAAAGTTATGATGACCTATATTAAAGAGTGACTTACATGTAACTGGGAGGATATAGATCCTTAATTATCCTGCCAGTCCATGTATTAGGAAAGTCAAGTTATGCCCATGTAATATGTAATCCACTGATAAACAGCATATCATATATAACTTGGCTACGTTGAATTAAATATTTTAACTACATGGAGGAAATTGGATGGTAAAAATTTGCATAACACAGTCTGATTCTATTTTCAAATGTTACTATCACCTAAAGAGAGAGTTAGGAAAAGCTGGGTTAGTTTCTGAAGCACTTTTTTGATAGATTCCTTGACAACTCTTTGTAAACAATACATGAAGGAGAAAGTTTCTTACCTGTAGTCATCTAACTGTACTAGAAATCGTACCATGTCATGATGCGCTTTCAGTACCAGCAGTTCAGTGTAGGGATTCTGAGTCTGCTCCTCACCTATCGTCTGTACTGGAGACTTCTTGGAACCCCCACCCAAAAAAAGAAAAAAAAAGAAAAAGGATGACTGCAATTTAAGAATCATTGATGAATACTATATATAGCCTAAATACTGACATTCAGAATACAAAGTTTAAAAAGTCGCAGGAAAACATGTTCTAATATGGTATATCATTTTCTGTAACCTCCACTAAAGGATAGCTGACTTTAAAGAAGGCATTTTTCCATATCTTATAAAAATATACACATTTAAGTCATTTTAATAATGCCATAAAAGGCTGCTTATACTCAGAGGGCTGCTTCTGAAGTGGTTGTCATAGAAATAAACTGTTTGTGATCAAAGAAATAAAATATTAAAATACATCAATAAGACTCAGGGCATTATATATTCAGTATCTCATACACAACTATTTCTTCCAACTCAATTCAGGGAAGAGGAAAAACTGTTGGCATGAATTATCCAAAGCTATACATATTAACAGCACATATTTTTAATTCATTTAAAATATGCATAAATTATTTTTTCCAAAATTTAGAAAGTATAATTGCTATACAATAGAAATTACCCCAGAAATAACTATTTTTGCTCTAAATGGGCCATCAAATAGATACAATAATTGGTCACGGTAGCATAACTACAAAGAAACTCAGGAATCAAAATCCAGAATCAGTATTTTTGAGGTTCACTTCTTTTTTCCTTATAAATGTTCTAATACTGATGAAGTAGTGAAATGACCAAAATCAAAGCAATGTGGAAACATTTTCCTATCTACCCCTAAAAATAAGGGTTGATAAATTCTCTTTTGACACTGTGCAGAAATGAGTTATTTTTATGAATGTGGATGATGAAACTGAAGATGAGTCATACTAATATGTGTGGGATGTATATATTAGTTATAGCACAGTGATCTCATGTTTGTATGGGCAGAGGGCAAGACCTTAGATTGATCTTTTTGTGTTATTGTTTGTGTGGAATTATAAACCTATCAATGACTAAACCTGAAGCACTAGAAACTGGTCAGAAACCAGGTTCACAGCATCCTCGGATTAAGGTACCATTTTGGCCCCGGGGGGAAAATGGGGCCAACCAATACCTCCAGGGCTTAATTCCAGCAGAGTTGATAGTTAGGAAGGACCACAATTATCCAGTTCTATTCAGTGAGCAGAGCATTTTCTAGCATTATTAAGTCTTATGCCAACTGTCTTCCTTGTTTTCTCAGTTCTCATCCTTTTTGACTCATCTGCTGCATTTATCACGGGTGGCCACATTCTCCTCCTGGATACTCTTTCCTCTCTTAGTTTTTATGACATTACCCTCCTAGTTTTCCCTTTTCTGCTTCTCTGACTACTCCTGGCTCATCGTCCTTATCATATCCCATAACCACAGGCATTCCCCAAGGCTCTGGCCTGGGCCCTCTTTACTTTTCTTTCTACCCTCTCTCTTGATGACTTCATCAATTCCCATGAGTTCAGATATTATATGCAAGTGACTTAACAGATTTTATACATACAGCCCCTGTGTCTCTACTGAGCTTTAGACATTTAAAGTAGCTATCTTTGAGAAATCTCAAATTCATCTTGTCCAGAAATGAACTTATTTTCTTTCCCCATCCCTCTTCCAAAGTTCCCAATTTTTGCCAAAAGTACCATTCTTCTAATTTCCTAGGTTCATAACGTCTGCATTATGCTTAGCTCTCTACTCTCTTCACTTCACATGTCCAATCATTTCTACCTCCATAACATCTCTCAAATCTGACTCTTTCCCTCTACTATATGGCCACCACCTAAGTGTTGTCCCTTAATCAACTCTTATCCAGACTATTGCAAAGACCTCCTAATTCGTCTTCCTGCCTCAAGTCTCTCTCCACTGAAAACCATCCACCACACAGCTGCCAATGGAATACTCCTAAAGTATAAATAAGCCTGACCATGTCACTCCACTACTCAATAAATTCCAATAGCTCCTTATTGCCTCTAGGTTCACATATCAATTCTTCTGTTCAGCTTTTCAATAGCCTGGTCCCAAACTATATATCCAACCATACATTATTCCCCTTCTCTCAGCTCCACAGACCAGCCAAATTAACTTTCTTTGTTCCTCACACAGAGCACTCCACCTCCAATTTCCATGCCTTGCACCGGCTATCGATCCCCCATGAATGGAATATACTCTCTCCTCATTTCACAGAATCTCTCACGTCAAGATCTAGTTCAAGCACTAACTTCTCAATTAAACCTTTGCCAAGACTTTCGATTGCTAGTAGCCTAACTGCCTTATATTTAATTTGAACGTACTCATTTGTTCTTTATAATATACTTATGAATGTACTTGTCTCATATGATAGAATGTAAGTTCCTTGAGAGCAGGGACTTTCATTGTTTTTGTATACCCAGAGCCTTGCATGTATGTGGTAGACATGTAATAAACATTTAATTGATCAATTCATGTTGGGGAATCCTGGTGGTGCCACACACTAGGAAGTTCAGGAAAAAATAAGATATTAGCAACATGTTAGGTCTGGTCAAAAGCCAAATCAATGGTGACTCTGTCCAGAGATCTGTCGTTACAAATGCTGAATGACTCCATTATTAAGCATGACCAGTGATGAATAAGATAGTCTGGTTAAATGAGAACTGTCATATGACTTGGATGTGGATTTTTTAATCATCCGGAATGTTGAACGTAACCTCAAATTTATTTTTTCAAAACCTTGAAAATTCCAACTGCCAGATGTGAGCAAATTAAGGAAAGGAGTAGAACTGTTGAACCACATAGGCATGGTGCAATTAAAAAAAAAATCCTTTAGATATCCTATGAGGAATAATAAAAATAATTCAACAAGAATTTATTTCTAAAATCCTTAGTGCATGAAGTAAACCGGTCAATTTTTAAAAAAATATTCAAGTTGATTGGGGCTGACATTATTTACAGGCTCATGGGATCTTAAGTTTAGAGATGGAAGAGACCTTAGAGATCATCTAATCCAACCGCTCCCTCATTTGACAAATGAGGAAACTGAGGCCCAGAAATCTAATAACTTGCTCACGGTCCCATATTCCAAATGAACAAATTTACTATAGTCAGATGAATTGTGTAGATTCTGTGGGAAATACAAAAATAGTCAATAATTTAAAAATCATTTTTACTTGATGTTCACTTGACAAAAAGACTTTTTTTGAGACTTTACATTTCCATTTTTCTCAATTCATCAAAGGTGAAGGGAAAGAGGAGGTTCACTATGTCTGATCCTCACATGAAATAGTCAGAAGATGGCTGTATTCTATTAGCAAACAACAAAAAGTTTAAATATCAGCTGACTTTCAGAATATTCTCAAGTCTCCCATTGGAGTACTTTCCATTGCTTTAAAAAGTTGTGTCTGGTTCAATGGTGGCAGTCAAGTGAACAAGCATGTATTAAGCGACTATAACATGTGCCAGGCACAGTACTAAGAACTGGAGATTAAAAAAAAAAATTAAAGACAAAAAAGACAGTCCCTGCTCTCAGGGAGGTGACAATCTAATGAAGGAGAAAACATGAAAAACTACATACAAACAAGCTGTATACAGCTACATATACAGCTAGGTATCTTGGAGGATAGACAGCTGGAGCTGGAGTCAGTAGGGCCTGGGGTCAAATGTGACCTCTGAGAGGTACAAGCAGTGTGACCCTCAGTTTCCTCAAATGTAAAATGGGGATAATAATAGCACCTGCCTCCTCGGGTTGCTGAGGATCAAACGAGATGTTTGTAAGGCACTGAAGCACAGGGTAGCCATTTAATAAAGGCTGGTTCCCTCCTCCTCCACTCTTCTCTACAGGTGCTCAATACAGTACCTGACACACAGCAGATGCTTCATAAATGCTTGTCCCCTCCCTCCCTCCCTTGAATTGTGGACAATTGCAGGGGGAGGCACTAGCATCAAAGATGGGCCAGGCTCCTTGCAGAGGCGGGATCTGACAGGAGGCCCGGGGGCGGGCACGTAGTAGGCACTTCAATGCTAACTGACGGAGGGCCAGCATTGGAGGTTCAGGGGCGGGCGGGGGGGGGAAGCACTTTTTAATCTCCGCACCCTCCAGTGCCTGGCGCCTGGCAGGTACCGGACAAATGCCCGGAGGGTGGACAGCTCCCCGCACAAAGCTCCAGCCGGCCTAGGGTCGGTCCCCCCGCCCTCCCCTGTCCCCCTCGGCATCAGCCGGACCCACAAACAGGGACCCCAGGTGCGAGCCCCGGGGGATGGGGTCGGGGCTTTCCCAGGGGCCGGAAGTCCGGGCCGGGCGGCCCAAGCTCCGTACGCTGCCCGGGGAAGCCCGGCTCCGGCCCGGGTCCGAGGACAGCCCTTCTCCCGCCAGACCCAGGGGGCCTTTACCTCGGCCAATCCCTGGGGCTCTCGGCCTCCGCCGATCAACCATCGCAGCATCGGGGCGGAGGAGGAGGAGGAGGTGGAGGAAGAGGAGGGGAGCCGGGGCCTCTACGGGCGAGGGGAGGAGTCCGATCTTAGGACTCGCACCCGCCTCCCGGTATACTGATGAAGACGAAACTGGCGGAAGAGAAACGAGGAGGGAGGATTTTGTCCCTACGTTGGCCCGTAGCTCCAAATCGGGGGAAGTTGGCAGCCGAACTCAGGGCTGGGATCGGGTCGAGGGTGGGGCCGGCCAATGGTCCTGGGTCGCGCGCAGGGGCGCGCCCGCGGCCGTCCCCGGGAGCGCGCAGCGTGCGCTCGAGGTTGCAGGGAGAGGAAGTGGCTCTGGCAGCCTCTAGTGGTGGCAAGTGGAGCAGCCTCCGGGGTCCGGGCGGGGTCACAAGGAGGGTGGAGCAGGAGAGGCACTGGCCGAGATGCAGCTCACTTTGCTGTGGGCCCCAGAAGCTTTCACCAGAGGGCTGCTTTTTTAATAGCCTGCTGGGGAATAGGGAAGAGGCACATGGCATTTGGCATGCACCCTGACTGAGGCTGGATACATATATAAAATGTATGCATGTACACATGACGCCAAGATATGTGATGTATATATATACATTCACCTACATGTTCATTCTGAAAATTTAACAATCAGCTCTTGTGTGTGAACTGGCCCTGTATGTGTGTATATATGTATATGTTGTATGTGTGTAAAATGTATTTATCCAGACTCCATATCTAATCCACACATTATATACATGTATTATACATATTCTAGACATACAATATTACATACATGATAGATAAACACATTATATTATGATAATTATATTCATTTTGTACACATTGCATGATAACATATACTATAACTATAACACATTATATTACAACATATACATTATAACCATATACTATATTTGTTGTTTTATGGTTTCAGTTGTGTACAACCCTATGTGACCCCATTTGGGGTTTTCTTATAGTACTGGAGTAGTTTGCCATTTCCTTCTGCAGCTCGTTTTACAGATGAGGAAACTGAGTCAAACAGGGTTAAGTGACTTGCCCAAGGTCACACAGCTAGTAAATGTCTAAGACCCGATTTGAACTCAGGAAGATAAGTCTTTCTGACATAAGGCACAGCACTCTATCCATTGGGGTATAATACTTATACCACATATGCTATGATAATCATATTATATACACAAAGCAATGTGCATATTATATACCTATATTATAATAATTGTATACATATATTTATGTTATGTATGATATATCCAGCCTCAATATATCATATTATATGTAATCTAATACATAATACCAATATAATAATTATGTAAGAAATTATGTTATACATATAAAGTATATAGTATAATCGATTATATTATATACATTATTAGATTGTGTATATAATATATGACTTGCCGAAGCTGGATATATACGTAATATTATATGCAATATATACATAAATACATTCATACAGGGGTGTGCTGGAGCCAGTTCACACAGAAGAGCTGATTGTTAAATTTTCAGCGTGAACATTTATACCTCAGAAATGGGGAAACACTACAAATCAGGGCCTGCCTTATTGTTTTGTTGATTGTCTGGACTTAAGAAAGGAGAAAATGTTAATAATGCAGATTAAACTTAAAAGTGGGTTGTGCACAAATTTATATTGGGAGAACTGGTTGTTAACATTTACCAGCACACCCCTGAGTCACCTGCATAGAGCTATTTAAATCCATGGGAGCTGATGAAGTCACCTAGACAGAAAAGAGGGCTTAGGACAGAACCTTGGGGAACAGCCACAGGTAGAAGATGATAATGCATGGTGAACCCACAAGGGAAGCTGAAAAGAAGATGGTCAGACAAGTAGGAGAGCTAGGAGAGAGTGGTGTTGCAAAAACCCGCAGAGGAAAGAGCATCAAGGAAGAGAATGTGGCCAACAGTGTCAAATACAGCAGATGGGCTGAGAAGGATAAGAACTAAATCATGACCTTCACATATGGCAGTTAAGAGACCATCGGTCAAAGGAAATGAGCAGGCAGTTTTTTTATGAAGGAATCAAAACTATATCTAATCATATGAAGAAATGCCCTAAATCATTACTGATGAGAGAAATGCAAATTAATACAACTTTGAGATATCATCTTACACCTATCAGATTGGTTAAAATGAAAGTTGCCCTTCAATTATGGAAAGGCTAAAAAAAGTTGTGGTATATGATTGTAATGGACTACTACTGTGCTATAAGAAATAATGAGCTGGTTGATATTTAGAAAAACATAGAAAGATTTGGACGTAGGAAGAAAGATGCGGTCATCCTCAAGAGAAAGAACTCATAATTAGAAGTATGTAATAGTATGGTTTTACAAGTATGTCTATACATGTGTATATATATTCATGTTTAATTATAGCCTTCTCTAGGGTAGGGTGGGGAGGGAGGGAGAAAAAAAACAAAAAATGCACAGCAGAGAACAGAAGAAAACTTAAAAGTACAGAAAAGCTGGGCAGTGTTAAAAAAATATGTAGTATTTGTTATATAGTTTTTTAAAAAGGTAAACAATCTGAAATGGAAATTTATGTATTTATATTGATTCATCTCTTTATGTTCTGCTATGTACATAACAAATAAAAAAAGAAAATTTTAAAAAAAGAGATCATTGGTGTAACTTTGGAGAGGGCAGTTCCAGTTGAATGATTAGGTCATAAGCCTCAGAACCAAAAGGTTGTGGAATAATTGAAAGAACAAAAAATAGAGGCAGCTAGTATAAACAGCTTTTTCTAGAGTTGGTCTGAGAAAGGGAAAATATATATACAATAACTTGAGAGGATAATAGGGTCGACTGAAGGTTTTTAAAGGATGGAAGATTTGGAAGTATTTTTGAAAGCAATAAGGAAGGAAAACAGTAAGGAAAGGCTGAAAGTCTCCAGAGAAAGAAGGGATTATTAAAGATTTAATCTGCAGAGGAATATGGGAAAGTATTGGATCAAGAGCATATACAGAAAGATTGACCTTGGCAAGGAGAAAAGCCACCTTCTTATCAGAGACAAGGGGAAATGGGGAGAGATGGTGTCAAGGGGTTTTGAGATAAAGAGAAGGGGAGAAGGGAGAACTCAAACTCTCCTCAGTTTTCTCAGTAAAATAAGTCTGGTCCTCAGCTCAGAGGGTTGTACAGTGAGATTCAGGGATTGGAGGCTTAGAATGAAAGAAAATGTTTGGAATAGTTTCTTAGGGAAGTAAAATAGAGAATCAATTCAGGAAAACTGAAAGACACACCTTGCCTCAGTGAAGGCCCAGTTGAGGTTAGGCAACATGGATTTGTAATATAGCCAGTCAGCACAGTTGTGAGACTTCTTCCAACTGCATTCAGCAGTTTGTGAGTAATTGTATGGTTTTTCCTTTGTTCTCGAAGAGGACCATGACATCAGGAAGATGGTGCTATGACTTGCAATTGAATTGGATTTAAGTGAGGGAGGGCTGTGCAAAGTCACCAGCTTCACTTTCTTCTCTGGAGCCATCTGGGTCCAGTGGCCAAATATAGATCAGGAGAACTGGAGATGGTCCAGGATGCAGTGGGAGACCTTGGCCTTTTTAAGCTAAAGTCTTCCTGAGTTCTTGTGAGTAGTAGCAGAGGAGGCAGATGATGGGAGTAACCCAAAGCTAAGGTTTGGCAAAAGATGAGCAGCCCTAGGACCAGGGGGAAAGGAATTCAAGGGCAGAGGATATAATGATTAAAATCACAATCCTCCTTAAAAGGTCATAATCCATTCCAAAATCAAGTAGAATCAAAATGGCTATTAAGTTGAGATTGGAGAAGGAGGAAAAAGAAGGTAGAACATGGGTTTGAGCCTGAGAAAGTACTAAAGGGTGGGGTGATTGGAGTTCTCAGTGATTGTGGGAACTCATTTTAAGTGGAACGAACAGAGGTGTACTGATAGGAGATTATGATCAGATAGAGAAATATCAGAATTTCTAATTAGGGAAGTACTTGTGGATAATGGTGAGATTTAGTACAGAAGGTAGAGGTAGAATGAAGGAGTAGATCGTAGGATTTAAGGAGGCTGCAGAATTAGAAGGTTATAAAGTTCAAGGAAGCATCTTTGCAAATATTAAAGTATCCTAGTACAAGGGCAGGAATTGGAGGAGAGGAAGATGAACCAAATACCAAACTCCTTGAGAAAGGAGAGGAAATTGACTTGAAGGCCCATATACCACAGCCTCCATAATTTGGATTAGGTAGAAAATTTTGATTGAATGGACTGCAGAGGAGAGAAGGCTGCCAAGTAATAGAGGAATCCAAAAGAGCCATTAGGGAATGAGGAGTATTCTGGTTTCCCCTCTAGCACCGGTGGGGTGAGGATGAAGTAGAAAGGGGGAGGAAAAGCACGTCCAGTGCTGGCGAAGATAGCGGTGCTGTCAGGTGGAGTCCAGTTAGGATCAGCAGATAAAAGGAATGTGGGTAAAAGAGGTGCAGAACAAAGGAGAGTTTAGTCACTATGTAATGAGAATTCCAGAGGACACAATAAATGGAAAGGGTGGAACGCAAGGCTGCGAAGGATGGGGAGAAAGAATGGGAGGAGAGTACCGGGGATTGACTAGTATAGAAACCAGGAGAGAAATATGAAAAGCCCTCATAGTGGGTGGTAAATACATAGTGAACTCCAAGTCTTCAAGGGGTGTTGAAACAGGCACTGGGCAAAGTCAGGGGTGTGTGTGTGTGTGTGTGTGTGTGTGTCCACCTGCTTGGGCAATGGGGGAAGGGGTTATTGGTCCTCTTAACTACAAGAGGCATTCATTTTCTGGACCTGAGTCTGGGTTTAGAGTCCACCCTGGCCACCCCAGAGGGAGAGCAAGAGCAGCCCTACCAGCCTGAATTAAACCCAGACTGAGGCCTGGCAGACTAAGGCATAAGGAAGTTAAGAAAGGAGCTGGTTTGAGAGGGAAAATAAGTGTGTCAGTGGAAATAACTTCCTGATGAAGTTATTTCAGCAAATGATTGGACATTCAAGTCTAAAATTCAAGAAAAAGGTCAAGGCTAGAGATATACTTTGAGAGGGTATGGACCCCTAAGCAATGGGAATGGGGAGAATTTAGCAATACAATACTGATACACATTCAGGAACAGGGGTCCGTTCAAATTCCATTGTCAGACCGATTCTACAAATTGTCTCAGTCCTCCCCTTCCCCATTTGTAACAAACATTCTGAGAATTAGAAACCATGATACTTAGGTACTAAGGCAAGGGGACCTGGGCTAATTCTCTTCA